ACCCGTCTCAAGATAGGGTCTAACAGTGCATGTATGAAACACTAATCTTAAGACAGGGTCTATCTAACAGTGCATGTGTGAAACACTCAACTCAAGATAGGGTCCAAAACTTCATATATAGAATGCATAACAACATGACAATAAAAAAATAATTTGTGTAGCCAATAATAACATTTGAGGTGGCCGATTCAAATTGACATATGTGAAGGTATGAGATGCTGATGAAGTCTAAAGTGTCAAACTCAGTTATTCAGTAACTGTGTCTAAAGCAACAAACTCAACGTCCTACAGTAATTCTGTTTGAAGAGAACTCAGTCAAACAGTAATTCTGCCTTAGGAGAACTGTCATACAGTAATTCTATCTAAAAAGAACTGACACAATCATAAATACAGCAGCATCCCCACATACACAATCATCGACATAACAGAACCTCATAGATATAATCATCCCCCTAACAGAACCCCACATAAACAATAATCTATACAGCATAATCACACAGATAATAATCGATAGAGCATTAACCCCACAGATATAATCATCACTAAAGCAGAACCTCAGACACAATCATCACTATAGCAGAACCTCAGACACAATCATCACTATAGCAGAACCTCAGACACAATCATCACTATAGCAGAACCTCAGACACAATCATCACTATAGCAGAACCCTACAGACACAATCATCCCTATAGCATAACCCTAGACACAATCATCACTATAGCAGAACCTCAGACACAATCATCACTATAGCAGAACCCTTCAGACACAATCATCACTATAGCAGAACCTCAGACACAATCATCACTATAGCATAACCTCAGACACAATCATCACTATAGCAGAACCCTTCAGACACAATTATCACTATAGCAGAACCCTAGACACAATCATCACTATAGCAGAACCTCAGACACAATCATCACTATAGCATAACCCTAGACACAATTATCACTATAGCAGAACCTCACAGACACAATCATCAATATAGCATAACCTCAGACACAATCATCACTATAGCAGAACCCTTCAGACACAATCATCACTATAGCAGAACCCTAGACACAATCATCACTATAGCAGAACCTCAGACACAATCATCACTATAGCATAACCCTAGACACAATTATCACTATAGCAGAACCTCACAGACACAATCATCAATATAACAGTAACCCAACAGACAATCATTAACATAACCCCATAGATACACTCATCACTATAACAGTACCACATGGACACAATCACCAATATAACAATACCCAAATGGACAATCATCAACATAACATAAACCCATAGATACAATCATCAATATAACATCACCACATACACAATTATCAATGTAACAGCACCACATATACAATCATTAATATAATTACCACATAGACACAATCATAAATTTAACCACACAACATACCTAATCATCAATATAACAGTACCACAGACAATACAATGTGGATAATGCAATCATCAACATAACCGCACCACATATATAATCATCTATATAACAGTATCATATAGAGACAATCATCAATGTAACCACACCACATTCACAATCATCAATATATAACAGCACCTCATAGACAGAGTCATCAATATAACAGAACCCCACAAATATAATCATCAATTTAATAGAACCCATCAACACAATCATCAATATAACATAACCCAGTCACACAGTACAGAATCAAAATAATCATCTTCCTCATATGTTTGTCTAAATGACTTCTGTAGGTAGCAACAGCGAACCAGGATGACACAAGGAGGATGACCAAATCTCATTCCCAAAATAAAGAATGCCAAAGACATGCAACAGACAATGGTTTTATGATTTAGCTATGAGCTTTCTGCTCCCCAAACACCATTTGTTAATTACAGTTTTCTTCTCCATGATTTTTATTTTAACAAAGTTTTCCGATTTCATGAACTTCTTGTTGGTAATCAGTTCATTGTTGCGGCTTACTTTACCTATCCTGATGCTGACTTCTTGGGTCCAGTGATAGTTTATTATTGACCAAGAATCCCAGGTCTGAAATTATCAAATGGCTCTATCACATTGCTACTGATCAAGGATATCTGGTAACTAAAATATTAAACTGTCTCTATCAAATTGTAACTCAAGTGGCTCTAATCACATTGTTACTGATCAAGGATATCTGGTAACTAAAATATTAAACTGTCTCTATCAAATTGTAACTCAAGTGGCTCTAATCACATTGTTACTGATCAAGGATATCTGGTAACTAAAATGTTAAACTGTCTGTATCAAATTGTAACTCAAGTGGCTCTATCACATTGTTACTGATTGAAGATATCTGGTAACTAAAATATTAAACTGTCTCTATCAAATTGTAACTCAAGTGGCTCTAATCACATTGTTACTGATCAAGGATATCTGGTAACTAAAATGTTAAACTGTCTGTATCAAATTGTAACTCAAGTGGCTCTATCACATTGTTACTGATTGAGGATATCTGGTAACTAAAATGTTAAACTGTCTGTATCAAATTGTAACTCAAGTGGCTCTATCACATTGTTACTGATTGAGGATATCTGGTAACTAAAATGTTAAACTGTCTGTATCAAACTGTAACTCAAGTGGCTCTATCACACTGTTACTGATCGAGGATATCTGGTAACTAATATGTTAAACTGTCTCTATCAAATTGTAACTCATGTGATTAAGGATATCTGGTAATTAAAATGTTCAAGTGTCTTTAATATACTGTTACTGATCGAGATGCATAGGCGTGTTAAATGTGTAACTGTCTCCAGCTCTTCACGGTCTAACAAACACCTTACACCATAATATGTGCCTTATTTATTGTGAGTCTTTGTAATGAAGTGGTGAAGCTGTTTGTCTTGTGCTTTGAAGGTTCAATTCATGGCAGCAGCATTCTTTTCAAGAGTGCAGTTTTCACATAGATCCCTGGGGATCATTGCCGCAGCTACAGAAGTTGTGCTTTCTGTAACATTCTTGGCAGGAGGCTAGCCGTTCTGCTCAGAGAGACAGAGCCATATATAGGACAAAGCCTAGTGCAATGAAGCCGATCCTCTCACCTTTAACCTTTATTTATCAGAGAATGCAGGCAGTAAACACAGTTCCTTCTGTAAGTGGCTTGTGATTGAAGCAGCATCCCAAAACAGCATCTTCCAAGTACCTACATAATCTCGTCCTGGCTTTCAGTCGATGAGCCTAAAAGAGACTGCCATCTCAGCAAGAATGGATAAAAATACTAGCCCTCTGGTCTCCAATGGCATATTTCACAAGAAGTGAAAAATATGTAATCAATATAACTGTACCACACATATATACAGACAAATATAACTACAATATGCATACAAATATAACAGAACCACTCGAATATTAATAAAAACTACTACCCCCTTCACACACAGACACTCCATCCAACCACACAGTTTAATAAATCTACCGAGTGTACAACAAAAGCATGTAAACAATAGTCAATACAAGAGCATCATACACAAAATTCATCCAACAATGTAATATGTACAACAATATCAAACATAAACTTCTTTCTTCTTCCTCTTTGGGTTCACGGACTGTAAACTCCAGCAGAAAGTTCTTGCTGTTCATCCACCTCCAGACTCTAGTCTTGTTCCAGAACCTGAATGTTGCATGTACGTTCATTTTACAGGTCTGGTTTATTTGTGTGCAGACTGTTGTTTCCTTGCCTCTCAGGCAGATGCACTCAGACGTCAAAGAATGCCCTCGATTAGTAAAATTCTACAACCTTCTTATTGGGGAGGCAGTGGGTCTATTCTTGTTTTCCCCACAATGAGAAAACATAAACCAGTATAAGCACCATATTTACACAGTTATCACCCCCAAGTGCACATACTAAAACAGTAATGTAGACATCTGTTTCCATGTCCGCAGCTGTAATGGGCATACTACAACAGTAATGTAAACACATGTTTCCATATCCGCAGCTGTAATGGGCATACTTCAACACTAATGTAGACATGTTTCCATGTCTGCAGCTGTAATGGGCATACTACATCAGTAATGTAGACATGTTTCCATATCCGCAGCTGTAATGGGCATACTTCAACAGTAATGTAGACATGTTTCCATATCCGCAGCTGTAATGGTCATACTACATCAGTAATGTAGACATGTTTCCATATCCGCAGCTGTAATGGGCATACTTCAACAGTAATGTAGACATGTTTCCATGTCTGCAGCTGTAATGGGCATACTACATCAGTAATATAGACAAGACATCTGTTTCCATGTTCAAAGATGTAAAGGGTTCTCTAGAACCCAGATGGGAAGTACCATACTACAACAGTAATGTAGACATCTGTTTCCATGACTAGAGCTGTAATGGGTGTATGGTGATTTTACAGACCAAGTGTTACTTGGTGAGTGATAAGATTAATATCACACTGGCCCTTTTTACTTTCTAGAACATTTCTTCAATGTCCGAGTGCATCTGCCTGAGACACAAGGAACCAACAGTCTGCACACAAATAGGCCAAACGGATGTGCAATACAAAACTCATGGTCTGGAATAGGACCAGAGTTTACAGCTAAAGAATGTGAAGAAGAAGAGACCTCCTAGAATATTCCCTTGTACATACACAAAAATATACCAATAATAAATACAACAGTGCCATACATCTCATACAAACCATCCAACAATGACTAACATTATATGCACATAATAATCTACTTAACAGTACCCCCATGTACACCATCCACCAAAGAGTACCCCATATACACAACCTACCCAACAGTACCCCATGTATCAACACAACGGGGCCCTATGTACAGAATCCACCTAACAGTACACCACATACATAATCCACCCAACAGTACCTTATGTTCACAATCTACCTAACAGTACCTCAATCAAACAATTTACCTAACAGTACCCCATGTACATCATCTACCTAACAGTACCCCATGTACACAATCTATCCAACAGTATCCCATGTACATAATCTACCCAGCAGTGCCACATGCACACAAATTATGAAGCATTATTTGAATTCTGGTTGGCATAGTTGGCTGCAGACAAGAATGCCAGGTGGCCTTTTGGACATCTGTTGGCAAAGTGTCCCTTATCTCCACACTGAAACAGAGTTAGGGTCAATGAAGCCATTGTTCAATTCTACTATATACATCCATCATTCTGCATATATACTCAGCATAGAATAGTCTTTTATATATATATATATATATATATATATATATATATATATATATATATATATATATATATATATATATATATATATATATATATACACACACACACTCAGTATAGAACAGTCTTTTATATTTATACACTCAGTATAGAACAGTCTTTTATATTTATACACTCAGTGTAGAACAGTCTTTATATATATATATATATTTTTACACTCAGTGTAGAACAGTCTTTATATATATATATATATATATATATATATTATATATATATATATATATATATATATATATATATATATATATATATATATATACATACATACACACACACACATACATTCAGTATATAACAGTCTTAAATATATATATGCACCCACTAAGTATAGAACAGTCTTTTACACACATACACGCAGTATAGAACAGTCTTTTATACATATACACTCAGTATAGAACAGTCTTTTATATATATACACACTCAGTATAGAACAGTCTTTTATATATATCCTCAGTAAAAAATAGATGTACTCAGTATAGAACAGTATGTTATACATATCCTCAGTATAGAACAGTCGTTTATATAAGTACACTCAGTATAAAACAGTGGAGTAATGTTCCAAGCCATGTCTAGAGAAAAAAAAATGCTAGGTCTGGCATAGTAGTGTTGTGCCCTGGTCTTGAGTAGAAGGTGGGTGGATCGGGTGGCCTATTAATCAGAACGAGTCTGCTCTCTTCATGCTACTTCTACAATTTCTCTCCTCTATGGTCTATATATATATAAGTAAGTAAAAGTAAAGATCCCTTTTTACGCCTAAGGCGCATCAGGTATATGGGAAGAGCACCTATATTTTTTCAGACCAATCGGCACTGGGTGGGTAATGTGGTCAGCATTATGCCGGCCGTCTTTACTTTCCCAGGACATTACATCCTGGTACCCATTTTAGGCTGGGTAGACCCGCGACACCCCATACCATGATAAAAATCTACGCAGCCAGCAGTAGTTTCGTTGGCAGTACGTTGGAATTACGAGTCGAACTCGCAACGCCTTAGCCACGGACGCCGCTATATACATATATAGACAATATATATATATATACAATATATATATATATATATATATATATATATATATATATATATATATATATATATATATATATATATATATATATATATATATATATATATATATATATATATATATATATATACACATATATATATACACATACACAATAAAGACATGTCACTCACTTTGAAACATGTGATTTGGTCGAGTGGTCTGCGCTCTCTCTGTCCAGGATGAGAGTGTACTTGTTGCTGTGCTTGTTGGTGCTGTGTGTGAGAGAAAGACTGTGATGTCTGGTTGCTGGAGTCATCTCCTGAACCCTGTATGTCAGAGTCAATCAGTGTTGATAGGCATTACAGTTTCAATAGATAGCCTTACACTCTAAAAAAATAAAACATTAGAATTTCAATACACAGCTGTTCACTGTCAACAATCATCAGCATATGCCGTGCCAATAAGAGTAGGCTGTCATGTTTCACCACCTGACATGACTGCCAGATAAACAGATCAAGTTTAAATCAGCGGTTCTCAATGTGTAGGTCACAATCCATTGGGGGAGTCGAACAACCCTTTCACAGGGGGTGCCTAAGACCATTGAAAAACAAACATTCAATGTGAGGAACTGTATTGAAGGGTTCGGTGACATTGGAAAGAACCCTGATCTAAATGGCTATTTATGTGTCCTTTCAGAAATACTTGACAAAAGAGTTTCTATATACAGTAACTCTACTATAATCTAACATGTCAGAGTGTCTCACTATATATCTCATCGTGTCAGAGTGTCTCACTCTCTCTCATCATGTCAGAGTGTCTCACTGTATATAAAGATAAGAGATATAGTGACATGATGAGAGATATAGTGGGAAACTTTGACATGATGAGGGATATAGTGAGACACTCTGACATGATGAGGGATATAGTGGGAAACTTTGACATGATGAGAGATATAGTGGGAAACTTTGACATGATGAGGGATATAGTGGGAAACTTTGACATGATGAGGGATATAGTGGGAAACTTTGACACGATGAGGGATATAGTGGGAAACTTTGACATGATGAGGGATATAGTGGGAAACTTTGACATGATGAGGGATATAGTGGGAAACTTTGACATGATGAGGGATATAGTGAGACACTCTGACATGATGAGGGATATAGTGGGAAACTTTGACATGATGAGGGATATAGTGGGAAACTCTGACATGATGAGAGATATAGTGAGACACTCTGACATGATGAGGGATATAGTGGGAAACTCTGACATGATGAGGGATATAGTGGGAAACTCTGACATGATGAGGGATATAGTGGGAAACTCTGACATGATGAGGGATATAGTGGGAAACTTTGACATGATGAGGGATATAGTGGGAAACTTTGACATGATGAGGGATATAGTGGGAAACTTTGACATGATGAGGGATATAGTGGGAAACTTTGACATGATGAGGGATATAGTGAGACACTCTGACATGATGAGGGATATAGTGGGAAACTTTGACATGATGAGGGATATAGTGGGAAACTCTGACATGATGAGAGATATAGTGAGACACTCTGACATGATGAGGGATATAGTGGGAAACTCTGACATGATGAGGGATATAGTGGGAAACTCTGACATGATGAGGGATATAGTGGGAAACTCTGACATGATGAGGGATATAGTGGGAAACTTTGACATGATGAGGGATATAGTGGGAAACTCTGACATGATGAGGGATATAGTGGGAAACTTTGACATGATGAGGGATATAGTGGGAAACTTTGACATGATGAGGGATATAGTGGGAAACTTTGACATGATGAGGGATATAGTGGGAAACTTTGACATGATGAGAGATATAGTGGGAAGCTTTGACATGATGAGGGATATAGTGGGAAACTTTGACATGATGAGTGATATAGTGGGAAACTTTGACATGATGAGGGATATAGTGGGAAACTTTAACATGATGAGGGATATAGTGGGAAACTTTGACATGATGAGGGAATATAGTGAGACACTCTGACATGATGAGGGATATAGTGGGAAACTTTGACATAATGAGAGATATAGTGGGAAACTTTGACATGATGAGGGATATAGTGGGAAACTTTGACATGATGAGGGATATAGTGGGAAACTCTGACATAATAAGAGATATAGTGGAAAACTCTGACATAATGAGAGATATTGTGAGACACTCTGACATGATGAGAGATATAGTGAAACTCTGACATGATGAGGGATATAGTGGGAAACTCTGACATGATGAGAGATATGGTGAGACACTCTGACATGATGATTTGGTGAGACACTCTAACATGATTAGGGATATAGTGAGACACTCTGACATGATGAGGGATATAGTGAGACACTCTGACATAATGAGGGATATAATGAGAAACTCTGACATGATGAGAGATATAGTGAGACACTCTGACATGATGAGAGATATAGTGGGAAACTCTGACATGATGAGAGATATAGTGAGACACTCTGACATGATGAGAGATATAGTGAGACACTCTGACATGATGAGGGATATAGTGGGAAACTCTAACATGAGAGATATAGTAAGACAATTTGACATGATGAAGGATATAGTGGGAAACTCTGACATGATGAGATAGATTGTGAGACACTCTGACATAATGAGGGATATAGTGGGGGAAACTCTGACATGATGAGAGATATAGTGAGACACTCTGACACGATGAGAGACAGTAAGACTGACATGATGAGAGATAGTAAGACACTATGACAACATTGGAGACATAATGAGACACCAACATGAACAGAGAAATAGACACTGACATAAATAGAGAAATAGTGAGACACTCTGACATGATGAGAGATAGAGTGAGACACTCTGACATAATGAGAGATGGTCAGACACTCTTACATGATGACAGATAAAGTGGGAAACTCTGACAATGATGAGAGATATTGTAAAAAAAACTCTTGACATGATGACAGAAATAGTGGGAAACTCTGAAAATGATGAGAGATATTGTAAAAAACTCTTGACATGATGACAGATATAGTGGGAAACTCTGACAATGATGAGAGATATTGTAAAAAAAAACTCTTGACATGATGACAGATATAGTGGGAAACTCTAACAATGATGAGAGATATTGTAAAAAACTCTTGACATGATGACAGATATAGTGGGAAACTCTGAAAATGATGAGAGATATTGTAAAAAACTCTTGACATGATGACAGATATAGTGGGAAACTCTGACAATGATGAGAGATATTGTAAAAAACTCTTGACATGATGACAGATATAGTGGGAAACTCTGAAAATGATGAGAGATATTGTAAAAAAACTCTTGACATGATGACAGATATAGTGGGAAACTCTGACAATGATGAGAGATATTGTAAAAAACTCTTGACATGATGACAGATATAGTGGGAAACTCTGACAATGATGAGAGATATTGTAAAAAACTCTTGACTTGATGACAGATATAGTGAAACACTTTGACACGATGAACGATGTGTATGAAGAGTCCCAGTCAGGCATTGAAACGTGTGCTGCGGCTGTTGATCTTGAGGATGTGTACAACAGAGTACTGCTAGACTTTCTAATGTTTCAACTTCGTGAACTAAAAATAAGTTCATTCCTTCTCAGTTGGACCTCTGCAGCCCTCTTCCAATGAGTAGTTTTTAGATGTGGCAGTTAGACCTCCGAACCTACAACTATACATCCTGGCCTACGCAAGGATCACCATAACCTCCTGTGCTGTTCAACATTTACACAGAAAAAATCACAAGTGAGCAGATCACATGACAGGGGAAGACGCTGTCATAGGCTGATGATGTGTTAGTGTATCGGCAGGGTAAAGACAGACAGCAGTCAACTCAACAGCATAATCAATTGGTGCGGTGAAGCTTGTGCACTGGTAAATCTAACGAAGGTAGCAGTGACGAGGTTCTCTTTGAATAACCATATTGTCAACAGCCCAACGCCGACTGCAAGTCTATGCTTAGATATTGTGTAAGGAACACAGGCAATGAAGAACCTGGGGATATGATTTGATCAAAACCCTTCTTATACTGAGCTTATAGACCAGGTGATAAAAAATGCCAAGCAAGGCTTGGCTCCAATGAGAGTAATGGCTGCAGCAAACTGTGAGCAGCGTCATTTATGTCTTTTTATATCAGGGTCAGGTACTTTCTGTCTTTGAGTATGTGATGGAGAGCCTGACTCTCAGCCATAAGCAGATGCAGAGGATGAAGAAAAAGGTTATGCACATTTAACTTGGATGCACAAGAGATACAGCATGTAGGGCAAAGCGCTAACTTCTCAATTTTCCAACCAAGGAGGACAGAATTCAAATTTGCCGAAAGTCTAGCCGCTGTTGAGGCAGAAGTGCAGGCTTTGATTTTCGGGAATTCTCTACGGGGGATGCTGTCATATACACAGATGGGTCTGTTTTGCCATGTGAGAAGCGCTTGGGCTTTTACGGCTCAGGTTGGAGCTAGATCTGTGAAGCAAGATTCTGGTGCTGTTGCCTTGATAACAAATAGTCTGGCTATGGAGGTCTTGGCAGTCACCAAAACAATAACATGGCTGGAGACACACACCTTTTCCCGCGCATGCTTTCTCAGTGACTCAATGAGTATGCTCAGGAAGACATAGAAGGGCTGGGTATGAAGACAGTGGTTGGAGTCTCTAGAGTGGTCGAGTTTGACACATGTCAGTTTCACATTTGTGCCAGGAGATGCAGGTGTGCAAGGAAATGAACAAGTTTATTGCCTAAGAGGTTTGCAAGAACCAAGTGACGATTGTGAATCTGCAACCATGATCATAATGCAGAATGCAAGAACAACATGTTAAGAGGGGTATGGCCAGATAAGAGTGCTATGCAGGAAGCCAAAGAGGATTAAGAAATCAACATAGAACTGGTGACTGAGCCGCTACATGCTGTGGGATTTACTAAGGAGGGGATCCAAACACTTATGGACTGAATGGGTCGATGTGCAATGAGAATAATCTGTTGACTAACTAACAGTATACTTGTATCATGGTGGTCCGCCTAGCAGGAGTGCAGACACATACATACACTATACCTGTATCATGTTGGACACATACATACACTATACCTGTATCAAGTTGGACACATACATACACTATACATGTATTTTGTTGGACACATACATACACTATAACTGTATCATGTTGGACACATACATACACTATACCTGTATCATGTTCGACACATACATACACTATACCTGTATCATGTTGGACACACACATACACTATACCTGTATCATGTTGGACACATACATACACTATGCCTGTATCATGTTGGACTACCTGGCTGTATGAGTGCTAGAACATGAACACATACACACAAACTCACACACAGACAGACAAACAGTTTACCTGTATCATGTTGGACTGCCTGGCTGCATGGCACTGAATGGCCTTGTGGCCAGGCTGCATACACAAGTGACAGACAATGTTCTGCTTCTTCTGTGCAAACACTGGATCTGGGTCTGGAATCCTGAATGATGGGCTGCAAACAAATGAACAGTGTCACTGTTTCTGCTGATCAGTTCATGGTAACACCTTTTTACCAAGCAGTCATACCTAGTGAACGTAGCTGGGTTTTTGTGTGTCCCACCAAGGCAGATCTCTTCACGACAATACCTTCTTTCCAAATGGATATCACATAGTTGGAGGTGGGGTGGGGTGGGTGTTTCCATGGCTAGACCACTTATCTGGTAATAGTAATGTGGTTTCTCTTAATGGTATCCCATTGCAAGATGTGGAATCACACACCTATTTGAGCAGTAATGCAGAAAAACATGGGGAACTGACAGAAATATTACAATATGAATGCAAAAGGCAAGAGGAGGGGCTTTCATAACACTAGGAAATCTCTGGACGTCAAAAGAAATAAAAATTAATAACAAACTTAATATTCTTAATTCTAATGTCAAATCCATACTGCTAAACAAAGACCAGTGGAAAGAAAACAGATACACAATTTATATCAACTCAAACATAAATACCAGGGGAAAGAAGACAGATATACAATTTATATATCACCCCAAACAAAAGGACCAGTGGCAAGATGACAGATACACAATTCACATCAACTCAAACACATGGACCAGTGGCAAGAACATAGATACACAATTTACATCCTCTCTTACAAAGACCAGTGGCAAGAAGACAGATACACAATTTACATCACCTCACACACAAAGACCAGTGGCCAGAAGACAGATACACAATTTACATCATCTCTTACAAAGACCAGTGGCAAGAAGACAGATACACAATTTACATCACCTCACACACAAAGACCAGTGGCCAGAAGACAGATACACAATTTACATCATCTCTTACAAAGACCAGTGGCAAGAAGACAGATACACAATTTACATCACCTCACACACAAAGACCAGTGGCCAGAAGACAGATACACAATTTACATCATCTCTTACAAAGACCAGTGGCAAGAAGACAGATACACAATTTACATCACCTCACACACAAAGACCAGTGGCCAGAAGACAGATACACAATTTACATCATCTCTTACAAAGACCAGTGGCAAGAAGACAGATACATAATTTACATCACCTCAAACACAAAGATCAGTAGATAACTATTAGATAACTTACTGCACATATTTACAGTTGGGACCATCTAAGCAAAACCCATTGAGATAGCACTGGCAGATAACTCTTCTCACATGGCGGTTCTTGCAGCTGGGACCTATGGGTGTTCACAGAAAACATGTTTGTAAATACACACTTATATACATGTCTACATATACATATGCAGGTCTATACACACAGGCTTTAAATCTATACACACAGACTTTCAAGTCTATGCACACAGACTTCAAGTCTATAGACACAGATTTACAAGTCTATAGATGCAGAATTACAAGACTACACATATACATACAAATCAACACAAACACATACAAGTCTATATACACATAAAAGCTCACACGATACATGCTGCTGTGGTATTTTGACAGTGAAGAATAACATGACTAAAATTGTGTCTGTGCGCGTGTTGTAGGTAATAATAAAACATGACCATCTATGCAGGAAACGTTATCAAATATGTATTGTAGGATAGGTGATACTCATTACAGACATGTAGTAGCTTCTTCTTAGTGTTCCCCGGCTGTAAACTCTGACAAAAAGATCTGACTGTTCGTCCACTGCTGGACTTTGGTTGTGTTCCAAACCTTGAGTTTTGTGTGCATATTTATTCTAAGATCAGGCTCATTTGTATGTAGACTGTTGGCTCCTCGCCTCTCAGGAAGATGCTCTCTGACTTCAAAGGAAAACTCCCCTAATTAGTTGCCTAGTACGACATGCTTGTAAAGGAGGCAGAGGGTCTTCCCCCCACTCTTCAAATGGGGCCCCATAACCCACATAGGGAAGACATGTAGTATAACTCAATTCTATCAGACTTGTGCTATGAGACAACTCTATCAGACATACAAACTAAGACAAACAACAGACAGCAGACATGTGATATAGGACTGATAGCAGACTCTTCTACAGACATGTGGTATAAGATAGCCAGGAGACAACATTATCAGATGTGTGCTATAAGATTGAAAGTCGAAAAATCCATCAGCCATGTGCTTCAACATAATAAGAGACTATGTGTGCTATAAGATATGAAGAAACAACCCTATCAGACATGTGCTTAAAGATATGGAGAAACAACTTTTTCAGACATGTTCTATAAGATACGGAGAAACAATTCTATCAGACATGTGCTATAAGACAGCTCTATCAGACATGTGCTATAAGACAGCTCTATCAGACACATGCTTTATGCCAGCTCTATCAGATGTGCTATATGACAGCTCTATAAGACATGTGCTACAAGACAGCTCTATCAGACATGTGCTAATGATATGGAGAAACAACTTTAACAGACATGCTCTAGCAGACATGTGCTATATGACAGGTCTATCAGACGTGCTATAAGACAGCTCTATCTGACATGTGCTAATGATATGGAGAAACAACTTTAACAGACATGCTATAAGACAGCTCTGTCAGACATGTACTATAAGACAGCTCTATTAGACGTACTATAAGACAGCTCTATCAGACATGTGCTATATGACAGCTCTATCAGACATGTGATATAAGACATCCCCATTAGACATGTGCTATAAGACAGCACTAATAGACATTTGCTATAAGACAGCTCTATTAGATTTGTGCTAAAGATATGGAGAAACCACTCTATCAAACATGCTATAAGACAGCTCTATCAGACTTGTGCTATAAGACAGCTCTATCAGACATGTGCTATATGACAGCTCTTACAGACATGCTCTATCAGACATGTGCTATAAGACAGCTCTATCAGACATGTGCTATATGACAGCTCTATCAGACATGTGCTATAAGACAGCTCTATCAGACATGTGCTATAAGACAGCTCTATCAGACATGTGCTATAAGACAGCTCTATCAGACATGTGCTATATGACAGCTCTATCAGACATGTGCTATAAGACAGCTCTATCAGACATGTGCTATAAGACAGCTCTATCAGACATGTGCTATAAGACAGCTCTATCAGACATGTGCTATAAGACAGCTCTTTCAGACATGTGCTATATGACAGCTCTATCAGACATGTGCTATAAGACAGCTCTATCAGACATGTACTATACGACAGCTATCACTGACTTGTGCAGCCAAACTTACCATGTCTACAGAAGCCTCGGTCATACCAAGGACAATCCCGCACTTTATTCTTGGGGTCGATATGAAGAAATGGACACTCCTTGTTGCTGCACTGCCCTATAAAAAATGCAAACATATGTCTATCATCAGTTAGAACTGATGTTCTTTTAAACATTATTATTGTAACAACTGACTGTGATCACTGACGTCATGCAGTTATTACTGAATACATGTCTATTCACTGACTAAATGAACTAATCAGTGACTACATGAACTAATCAGTGACTACATAAACTAATCTGTGACTAAATGAACTAATCAGTGACTACATGAACTAATCAGTGACTACATAAACTAATCTGTGACTAAATGAACTAATCAGTGACTACATGAACTAATCAGTGACTACATGAACTAATCAGTGACTACATAAACTAATCTGTGACTAAATGAACTAATCAGTGACTACATGAACTAATTAGTGACTACATGAACTAATCAGTGACTACATAAACTAATCTGTGACTAAATGAACTAATCAGTGACTACATGAACTAGTCAGTGATCCCATGTACTAGTCTGTGACTCCATGTACTGGTCAGTGACCCTATGTACTAGTCACCGACCCCATGTACTAGTAACTTAAATTACTTAGCAATAACAGCTAAATGCTTTACCAACTACAACTAATGTTCTACTAATGACAGCTAAATGACTTACCAATGACCGTAAAATGACTTACCAATGACAGTTAAATGACTTACCAATGACCGTTAAATGACTTACCAATGACAGTTAAATGACTTACCAATGACAGTTAAATGACTTACCAATGACAGTTAAATGACTTACCAATGACATTTAAATGACTTACCAATGACAGTTAAATGACTTACCAATGACAGTTAAATGACTTACCAATGACCGTTAAATGACTTTCCAATGACAGTTAAATGACCTACCAATGACAGTTAAATGACTTACCAATGATAGTTAAATGACTTACCAATGACAGTTAAATGACTTTCCAATGACAGTTAAATGGCTTATCAAAGACAGCTAATGACTTACCAAACTTTGAAAAAAAGAAGCATTCTGGCATTTTAGACATATCAAACTCATGGAGAAATTCACAGTCATCTCCCTTTTTGCACAGACCCCTCAACCAATGCTTGCAGACAACTGAACGGTCACCTTTAATGTGCCTGAAAGGACATGATGCACCTTTGCTACATGCCGATGTCAGGAAGTATGTACAGATGGCAGCACCAGATTCTGTCAAGAATTTCAAACATAAATTATTAACTATAACATGGCTGAAATACAGAAATGATATATATGTGGAAGCTGGCATCCTACACAAATGGAATGGGGGTTACCTGGGTGTTAAGGACAAAGTGGGAACAAATTAAAAGAAGAAATATGGTGAGTTGAGTTCAGTCAAGAATCGACATCATAGCATTCGGGGCATTCCCATGCTTGCCCCGTCCTCATCTTCAGCAGCCAGCACAGAGTTCCAATACTGATGGTGCCGGTCACAATCTGGTTATTTGTCCATCCTGCTTTTCCTCTGAGTGTAGTAAGAAGAAATATATACTATTTAAAAGCAAGGAGAAGAAACAAACAGCAGAAGAGTGCACAAAGTGAAGTCAACATGGATCTCAGGAAAAATTGGTGGACCTGGGATAAGTTGTACTGAAGACTGAACCTGTCACAAGCTGTATAGAAAACCAAAACTGTCACAAGCTGTATAGAACACCAAAACCCTGTCATAAGCTATAAAGAAGAGGAGACTGGACCTTCACTAGCTGTACATAAGAAGGGACCTGTCACAAGCTGCACAAAAGACAAGACTTGTCATAAGCTGTAAAGATCCCCCGTGTGGGTCCCAGGGCCCCATTGTGTGGAAAACAAGAATAGACTAATTGGGGAGCTTCCTTCAAAGTCGGAGTGCATCTGCTTGAGAGGCAAGGAACCAACAGTCTGCATTCAAGTGTAAAACTGATGCACACGCAACACTCATGTTCTGGAGCAGGACTGCAGTTCAGAAGTGGACGAACAACCAGAACTTTCCGTCAGAGTGTACAGCTAGTGAACACGAAGAAGAAGAAGAAGCTGAAAAGATAAGTAGACCTGTCACAAGCTGTACAGATAATCAGACCTGTCACAAGCTGTACAGAAGACTAGACCTCTGACAAGCTGTAAAGATAAGTGAACCTATCACAATTTGACTGATTTGATTTGATTCAAAAACTGACATCACAGCACTCAGAGCATTCTCATAAGCACTCCGTTCCCATCTTCAGCAGCCAGCGAAGAGTTCCGATAATAACGGTGCCAGTAGCATTCTGATTAAACATCCGTCTTGCCTTTCCTCTGAGCCTCGAGCATTTGCCAGAACCTCTCGTCACTCCCCCCTGCATCAATCTCACCAGACTGGTGACCCTTTTGCTCCGCAGAACTGTACACCCTCACCTACAAGGCACTTACCACGTCTGCCTTATCACGTATCAGTATTCCACCAAGTTGTGCAGAGCCAGCCAGTCTGTCCTCCTGTTCATTTCCCAACACACGGCATGCCCCGGTGGAAAAATCCAGACAATACTCCTCGCTCGTGTCCTCCGCAGCGAAGCATGACTGTCCTGATCTTCCTCAGCATGCTTTCTGAGTCAGTTACAATCACGATGTGTGTGTGTGTGTCATGTTTTCTAACCAGCGGAAAGCTGCAGTGACCGCCTCCACCTCCATTCTTAAGCTGGATATTGTGGTATCATATGCAAGGCTCTCCTGCACCAAATGTTGACCATTAACTTTTGCTTAGAAACCCCAAGCATTTCTTTTGCCTCTTGACACTGAATCGTCTGTGTAAATGATCAAATCATCTGAGCGAGCATTATCTTGAAATAATTGCTGAATTTCCAACTCCGTGGCATCTGCTGGCCAGTCTTTGAATACCCGGCTCAGGGTGATTATGACCCTACACAAGTCTGACTGTTCAGGTGGCACTCTGACCCACTCCTCTCCTAATGTTCTCAAGGATGCAAACCTGTCTGATTGGTGTTCTGCCTGAGCCATCCATGACTTCTGTACATAAGACTGGACCTGTCACAAACTGTACAGATAACTAGACATGTCACAGCTGTACAGATAAGCGGACATGTCACAAGTTGTATGGAAGATTGGAATTGTCACAAGCTGTATGGAAGACTGGACCTGTCACAAACTGTACAGATAACTAGACATGTCACAGCTGTACAGATAAGCGGACATGTCACAAGTTGTATGGAAGATTGGAATTGTCACAAGCTGTATGGAAGACTGGAACTGTCACAACCTGTACAGAAGACTGGACCTGTCAAAGAGTGTACAAATAAGCGGACCTGTCACAACCTGTACAGAAGACTGGACCTGTCAAAGAGTGTACAAATAAGCGGACCTGTCACAAGCTGTACAGAAGACTGAAACTCACAAGCTGCACAGATAACCAGACCTGTCACAAGCTGTACAGAAGACTGGGCTTGTCACTAGCCATACTGAAAGTTAGACCTGAGACAAGCTGTACAGAAGTCTGAACTTGTCACACGCCGTATAGAAGACTTGACCTGAGACACACTTGCTAATGAAAACTGCACACAAAATAAGCTGTACAGAATACCTGTTGTAATAGCCAGGTGTTTTAAGATTGGGATAAGTTGATTTGTAACAAAGTTGTATCTTGTTTTATTTATTATACAATTATCAATTATGAATCACTATTTCACAAAGATTTGTATGCTTTTCAAAGTTCAGTGGGATCAGTAATTCCTGAAAATAGGAGGTTCTAAAGGAATTTCACTACTTCCAAGTGACTATTTCAACTGCAACAATGACAAATATTGTTGTCAGCAGTTAACTTTTTAAAATTTTAACAGTGAAGTAAATTGGTGTTTATCTCTCAACAGCTGAAGCTACATTAAAAAAAAAAAAAAAAAAAATTCACACAAGAATTGTATCTCCTCTAGCAGTGCACTGCTTAGAAATAGAATCTGTTCTTACTTATACTGCCATGTAGCAAGATTTAAATGAGGCTCTCTCTCTGTTGTGTTTTATTTTTACAAATTACACCTCTAACCTGTAAATTTATAGAATAATTGTTTTATTATTTTCCTCAAATCTAATAAATTTATCAATGCCATTATGACAACATACTGTCCATCCCAGGGAACGGTAAAAGCTGGGCTCCATGTTGAAGTTCCAAAGCCACTTCAATCTGAAACTTTATGCCGTCAACAGGAGCCACAATTTCCTGCATGTTGGCGATCTAACAGATGCCGTCACAGAAGCGAAAAAGTCAACAACAGATCCCAGCAAACAACTGAACAAGTCAAAAAGTGAACCACCGATGCCGTCACCAAGCCAGAAAGTGTGCAAAAGATGCCGTCACATAGATGAACAAGCCAGAAAGTAGGCAGCACTTGGCAGTTTTTGTTTGTACAACGCACTTCTGCTCGTTGAGACGGTGATGGTCGTCGGCAGTAGTTTGCCCTTGTTTATACAAATCTGGCACCAGTTTCAGGAAACAATATTTCGCAATTATAGTCAACAGTGATAGTATTAGTTTGGAAGACAAAAGCTACCACGAAGGTGAAAAGAGTCATTGTTAGCTAAAGTTTAGTTGCGGGAGAATGGGCGTAAAATAAATAACCTCATAGGGCGTCATGCATCCTAAATACGACCCTGGCTCTGATTCGAGGCGACATTAAGACGGCAGTGATGTCATGAATGTAAATAGAGTATATTGTACCTGTTGTTAGCTGTTGGTTAGATGGGACACAGGACAGGCTTGTAATCAGCAAAGACAAATCGATGGACAGCCACAGACAGCCAATCTCTGAATCAACTGAATGTCTTCAGACAGACACACTATCTGTCAATCTAGTGTATGCCCACAGACAGATGGACCAGCTCTGAATCCACTGTGTGCTCGAACAGACAGACCATCTTTGAATCAATGTATGCCGACAGGCAGATTGACGTTCTCGGCAGGCACCAACAGACCTCCTTACTATGTACTGAATACGGGATGATAACAGTCGAGCTGAATCGACTGTATGCCCGCAGATAGACCATCTCTGAATCTATTATATACCGCAGACAGACATAAGTACCATATCAGTCCACTGTATGCCATTAGACTGACAAGAAGACACGTCTCTGAGTTTATTGTATGCCCACAGGCAGACCGACCATCTTTTTACGTACCACAGATGAATTATTACGGTCAATCTGACATCACAAACTGAACTGACTCAACATAAAATATGTTATGATGCTTAGTCAGTCTCAAAGTCTCTATTAACGAATAAACTAAAAGAAGCAGCCGTTAAAGAAAAATAAAACAGAAATGTGAAACATACTGCTATAAATTTCTTTATTGATAAAGACTTTTGGCGAGAATATTTTGTTTTACATGTTAAGTTATTCACCAGATTAACCCCATGTAAGAGCTGATGTCCTGAATACCTCGTCTTCTTATGCTACTTGTCGATAAGGATATGGCCGAAACGTTCGACTGCTTCTAATGTGTCCTAGTTCGCCCTATCGTTGAGCACGTTAGTCATAGTTAGCTTTCAGTGCTTTCATTATAGCAGCTTGACTATAGCCAACCTTATTTTTTTCACCACTTCAAGTTCCCCGTGTAGGGGTTTGGGGGTGGGGGTGGAAAGCCCACTGCCCCTTACAAGCATGCCGTAAAGGGCGATTAATTAGGGGTGTGCTAAAATTCGGATACCTGGGCCTAAAGGCGCATATAATGGGGCCTAGATGTAATCACAACGTGCCAAACACACTTTTACGAGTAAGCCCCTCGAAAATTACTGGGGGGGGGGGCGGAGGGAATGACTCAAAGGGCTTAATAAGCTTTTTTGCACTAGGCCATGATACTTGTAGTATTAACGTCTAAAATGGCGATATTGAAGATGTATTGGCTTTGAAAGGCTGGAGAATTGGCTAGATAAATTTTTTTTTTTTTTTTGGCCTTCAGGCGTTCCACCAAGAGAGTGATGTTCTGTAAAGGACATGCTGACTGATTTATATATAGGCGTTGGGGAGCAGGCTTCTCCCAATAACACATTGGTGGCTCCCAGCCTCTAAAAAATTGGGTTGGAAAAAGGGGGGGGGGGGGTCGTGCTCGAGGTGCTCGTCCCAGGTTCCGACGCCTATGATTTCCTTTAGTACTTTCAGGTCTTTCTTGGTTCTGAGCATGCCGTTGTCTACGTGATACATGTATGACAAGCATCTGTCGAAGGTAATGTCTAGGTATTTCATCGTGTTCCTTCTCTTTGTGTCCTTAGCGCACTTGTTTACGACTGGCATATGGAGTCCTGTTAAAAAAAGACATTTGTCGGATTCACTTGTGCTCTTGATTCGCTCATTGATTTTTATCTGGTTCATTTCGTAGAACTGTAAATGTCACGCCTATTTCTTCCTCGTTAGCGCGTAATGATATCGTCTGCATACGACAATGTTCTGCCCAGGCATATTGTCTTCTGTGAACTTTTGACTTTGCTCCTCTCATCCTCCTCCCCAAGCTGCACCCCCCCCCCCCCACTAGTGAGCTCCCTAGACCATGTGTTACCTTCATGTCACGCCCCACCTGAACAGAACAGACCAAGTCACAGTTTTCGCTTACGCACTGGACACTGCAGACTCAATAAACACTTATATAAATTAGGTATGAACCAGACAGCTCTCTGGCAGTGTCTTCGTGCTGAACAGACTCCTGGACTTGTCTTGCAAGACTCCTCTCAACATGTGGCAACACCCAGTAGACATGACAACTAAGCTTTGGGGAAACCTAAGAGACCTTGAGAGGACAACCCAGTTTATGGCCCACAGTGGATTAGGCGCATGACCAGAGATCGCTGAAGAAGAATAATATGTCACGCCCTACATGTGCTCCTCTATCCCTCATCATTTCTCTTTTATGTACGCCTTAGTCTATTCCTCCTTCTGCCACGACCTAAACCACGTATTTACTTTATATGTTTCGCCCTACCTGGCAGATGCTATAAACAAGAATGAAATGATTTCCAAAGCCAGACGGTCACTTCCTGACTATGTCAGTAAACAAACATGGAGGCAGGGAGAGGTGGTATTTATCGGGTCTCTGTCGCTGCTATTGTCGCTGTCAGTGTTGCTTATCTCAGCTAGGTTGCTGCTGGACGACTGTCAGACAATGAACAATGTTATCACACTGCGCACAAGCAAGGGCGAGTATTTGCCGGGTCAGACAGTATATGGGTGCGTCAGCCGTGTGTGTCTTTCTGTTCTCATATCTGATCAGCCCCCCCCCCCCTCCCCCAATCTACTGCTGTGCAGCTGTCAAAAACATGAACTAGACTTATAATGAGACTTACTAAACATAAACTCATCAATATAAACCAGACTTATTGTAAGACGCTCTCCTCCGAACTTCTACCCCGGCATTATGGCGGCCGAACAAATATCCTTACAGGGCTCAGTCGTATTATTAACCCTTTAGCACGGGAAGTTTTTCAGATGTCTAGCCAAAAACACCGAGCATTTTTTTTTCAGTTAATTTGGTTATTACTTTATTAAATTTTTTGGACACATTTCTGTTATTCTGACCCCCATGAAATAATATATCTATTTGAAGGATATAGATTGAAGTTCATGATTTTCACAATATCGTTAAAATTAATTGATGTATATGCAAATTACCTCATTTGCATATCTAAAAATAGAAAATTTGAATTTTAAACTTCAATGCATGAAACATAAAACTAAAAACAACATTTTTTTTTTAATTTGAAATCTTGTTATTGATCTTTGGCCTTTTTACAAATGTTGTAAGCAATTCAACAGTCAAAAACAGGTATATATATATATATATGAAACAGCAATAATATCTTTAGGTGACATGTGTTTTTCACCATCAGTCAGCACAAGAAATGGATGTGTCGGAGTGTCAACACCTTCGGGTGGATATACCCTGAGCCATGGTTGGGCTGTGGTCTGAACACAACAGCGTCCCTATCTGATTCCCCACTATTACTACTAACACTAAATCCTGCATCAGTATCAACAGAATTAGTGTAATCACTTGATTCAAATGTTTTATCAACATCAAGTTTAGGGGCAGAAACATACGAGTCAGACATTCTTTTAGCGGTTCAGGTCACTATCTAAAAAATTCAACAATTTTTACTTCCATACCAAACACTCGAAAGTCACCATGTGTAAAGCTAATACAGCAGTCAATATAAATGAATCACTTTCAATGTTTCAAAATAGGAGATTTCTTAGCGGTTCGAGGCGAAACACGATCGGGCCGATGATCGGCCGTTCCGTGTTTTTGGCCAGACATCCGCCGGCCGATAATCGGCCCGTCCGTGCTAAGAGGGTTAACATATCGCTGGGACCCTGTTAGAGGATTTGTTTCGTTATACGTAGCCGATCCTAGTTTTGCCTCGATTTGTTCGTCGCCGGAAGTTCGCATATTTTTAATATGACTGAGCCCTGTAAGGATATTTGTTTGTAATGTAATGCGGGGGTAGAAGTTCGGAGGAAAGCCTTGTAAGACATGTACAACATAAATATGACCTACAGTTTGACGTGATCAGCATAACACAGACTTGCAATGCGATAACATAAATCAGACTTACAGTGAGACATAGCATAAACTGAGCAACATAAAGATACATCCAGTTTGACATACTCACATAAACCACACTTACAGTGAGACATAATTAACTTAAACTCAAAAACATTAATCAGACCTATAGTATGTATATCTGCCCAAAGCATGGAGGATTGAGAACTTGTTTGTTTCTTTCAGAGCTGTATACCTACATGTCTGCAGACCAACGGAGGCTACTGGAATTACCATCAGCTTCAGGGGACTTGAGACATGTAAGTTTTCAAAGATAAGACTCCAAAGGAGTCAGATATCAATGTTGCACAGGCACCCAACCAAGATTTAGAAATGTTACCTATTATAAATGATATAGAGTTAAATATAGATGTGCCATTTAAAAATGCTGTAATGAGTGAAATCTAGATGTATTATTTATAAATGATGTAGAGCAGTGTGCTTCAACATGTGAGCCACGAGGCACAAGTGGGCCATGGAAAAGTATAGGTGGGCTGCCAACAATTTCTGCCTAATAATTTATCGGGTTGGGTATTTTGTTTTTCTCTTCTAGGATTGTAATCTGTAGGATTAACACCTCAAAGGTGAGAGTCAGACACGTGCGAATCCCAAAAAAACCAGTTCAGACGCATACAGGT